GACAAGGAGACAAGTCATGTGAAGCTCTCAGGGGAAGAGTGTTGCCAACAGAAGCCAGTGCAAAGACTCTGAGAGGGGAGAAGACCATTGTGGGTGGGGGTGTGCAGAGGGGAGAGCTGAAGAAGATGAGTCTGGAGAGGCAGCCAAGGCCTATCCATGTAGGGCTTTGCAGGCCACAGCAATGAGTTTGGTGTATTTTCATTTCATGGCCATTATGGGAAACCACCTGGAGGGTCTTGAGCAGGGGAGGGACTTGACTGATCTTGGTAGAAGATTTTTCTGGCTGCCATGGGTAAATGTGGTAAGGGAGTGGAGACAGCAAGTGTAGACAACCTTTAGAGAGTTTTGTTTTTTTGTGAAGGTGGTGGTAGCTGGAGAAGGATGTGGTGTCAAGAGGGAATTAAAAAAAGAGAGAGGACATTCTAGCATATTTACAGAATTATAGGGCAAAAACTGTGGAGCACAGTCCAGAGTCGGTGAGAGCTGAGGGCTCTAGTGTCTGAGTGGAGGGGGTATCAGGAGCAGGGATACTCATCCAGGTCCCAGGGGAGAAGGCAGGATGAACGGGCACATAATGCCTGCCTGTCAGCCCAAGAGGTTTAGGGGTACGGGGACTGGAGCTTTGGGAGAAGAGAAGGTATGATACAGCCATTTTAGGACTAGGGTTAGGGTTTTAGGAAAATGTAGAATTTGCTAGAAGGGCTGAGTGTTCACTCAAGGTTTGTGATCAGAAGTTTCCATTGAAACCAGTCAGTCTGGTTGGGTTATTCTCCAGATGCTCCGGGTGCCATGTGGAGAATGGGGTTGAACTGGGCTTGGGATCTTGCCTACTGAGTAACTACGGCAACAGGCAAAGGCAAGGGAGCCATCCGGGATACATCTATGGAGGGCCCTGGGAGTCTGAGTTGGGGAAAGAGGGAGGGGAGGTCATAGAGGGGGTGGTGGACAGCCACGTGGGGAGGGCCCACAGATGTGGCAGAGGGAGTGCTGGAGCGGGAAGCAGAGGGAGAGGAGGTGATGAGCTCTGGGTACTGCTGAGGTCTGGGGTGTGAGCGTGTATGTGGGTGGGTGTCACAGGTGAATAAAGATTGATGGAAACAAGGAAGTCAAAGCACGGAGAGATAGGTGTTAGAGGTGAAGTCACCAGAAATGGTGATAAGTACAGTATTTGAGAGAGAGAAAGAGAGAAGGGGGTTCCAGGGGCTGAGCTGGTCCTGTAGAGAAAGGGGATAATTGGGATAATTTACCTAGCTCTCCGACTCCGTGTGTCTGCATCTGAAGTTCCTTGTATCTCCCGCAAACCTGCTCCTCCCCTTGGGAGATGGCCCCGTCACCCAGGGCAGAAACCCGGGTGTCCCTTTGGTTCCTCTCCACCTGATCCCCACACCCACTCATATCGCCAAATTGATCCGACCCCATCTCATAAATCTTCCTTAAATCCAGCTACTTCTTCACACCTGCTGCGCACACCCTTGTTGAGGCCATCGTTGTTTGTGACTTGGACCGCTTGTGTCAGTCTCCAAGTAGGTGGCCCCACCCGGGCCCCTCAGCACATAAACCAGAGGCACCGTGCCTTAGATCACATCACTCCAGTGCTCAGCCTCTCCAGTGACTTCTCGTTGTCCTGAGGATAAAGTCCAAGATCATGATCAGGGCTTTACCAAGAAAGTGCTGCAGATGCAGCCCCTGCCTGCTTCAGCCCGAGTCCTCCCAGGAGCCTCCTCCTGGAGTACTTCCCATCCTCCTCACCAAGCTTGCTCTCCCTCCACCTGGCGTGCTCCTGCTCTGCTTGGCAAAGTCCTCTTCTTTCTCTAGGCATCAGCTTAAGGAAGTCTCAGGGAAGGGGCATCTGGGTGGCTCAGTCAGTTAAGGGTCTGCCTTCAGCTCCCATCATGATCCCGGGGTCCCAGGATGGAGCCCTGCATCAGGCTCCCTGCTCAGGATGGAGCCTGCTTCTCCCTCTCCCTCTGTGCCTCCCTCCCACCCTGCAAGTCTGGGTGCATGCACTCCCTCTCTCAAATGAATAAATATAATCTTAAAAAAAAAAAAAAGAAGCCTCAGGGAAGTTTTTCCTGCATCTCTGGCTGTTGGATCCACCTTTCCCCTCTCCCCAGCACCCTGTGCTCCCCAGCCTGCCACAAGCTGTCCTCTTCATGGGATGTAAATTCCATGAGATCGGGGACTGTATCTGATTCTTCCCACATGAATCCTTGGCACGTAGCATGGGGCTTGTCACGTAAAATTGAAAAATAAATATTTGTTGATTTGAATCCAATGAGAGATTCTTCAGGTGGAGCAGTTCTGGGTGAAGACAAAGTCCCAGGTGTGGTCCTGTGAGTGGGTAGCTAAATGCAGCGGAGGAGGAGGTCATCAGAGACACAGAGGGCATGGCACGAAAAGGATGGAGTGACGCCCAGATGGTTCCTGCCGCCCTGGGATGTGAGAGTATACCCCAAGACCCTGACTCCTCGAGTCTTTCATGAGTGGAGGAGCAATGAGGGGGCAGCCATGGGGGTGGGGAAGAAGGTGGAGGGGACAGATGGCAGGGGCCCAGCTGAGTGAAGAGATTTCAAGAAAGGGGAGGTGGGAAAGTTTGAGAGTGGTAGTGACTGGGGTGGGGGGTTCTTGAGAGAGTGGGTGGGACTGAGGATGAAAACGCCCTGGCAGATGTGTTTCTAGAGGATTCTTCCAGCTTCTCTGAGGCCTTGGGCTGCTCAGATGGTGTTTGGTTCTGTATGGCTCACTGGCTTGGGACTTGGGACCTCTGGGAGCAGATCCCATAAAGAAGACTGCCACAGGAGTCAGGTCCCTGGATGCCCTCCCCCGATGCTGGCCCCGAGGCAGACACTGGGATGGGGACTCTGGTATCCCACAGGGAGTGGGCTATGGCTGGTCTGCTGGCTGGCATTTGGCTGCTGTTTGGGTCTGAGTGGTTCTGGACGGGTTGAGAGCGCCAGCCTATGTTCTGGGATTGGGTGGTCACAGCTCTGGTCTGGATTGGAGGTAGAGCTACCCTTATTTCCTGGGATCAGGAGTTCAGTAGATGGTATTGGTGCCCTGCCCACGTCCCCTTTACCTGGGGACACCCATTCCCTAGCTGCTGTGAATATAGGATGCTCATGGCTTATGGCTGCCCCTGGAGATTTGACCTTGATTAAATGGGAGTCACCTATCCCTTCCTGTCAGTCCTCCTGCCCACGGGCTGGACTCAAGCCAACGACTGACTGATACAGAAGTTCACCGCCTGGTGCCCTCTCCTCCAGCGGGACCAACTCAGTGGCGGCATGTATGGTCGGAAGGCCCCTCACTGCACAGGGGTCAAGGCTAAATGTCCCTGAGCCCATACCCAGCTCAGTCTGTTCCCTTGCCTGCTTCCCTCACTCCTTCATCCTCAGGCACATGAATTCCTGCCACCGGCTCTGCTTTCGGGGACCCTGAACTAAGACGAAGTGACTGCTGATCTTGTCCCATGATTCAGGGAGGGGGTGGCAGAGAGGCTCTCTATGGACCCCAGCCCCCTGTAGACTCAGCCCATCTCCATGGGCGTGGAAGTTCTCCTCCCCACTCTAGGCCAGTTTCCTAAATGAAATGGTTAGGCTAGATTTAGTTAAAACATCAACAATGATGGAACTTAGAAGTCCACAAGAGGACGACTTATCCGCACTCCCTGGCCAAGGTGTAGTGAAGGATTCAGGTAAACAAGACAAGTCCCTTCCCCGAGCAGCTCATAGCTCATTTACTCATTTACCAAACATTTATTAAAGGTAGCTGGGGACCTGGGTGAGTCAGCCTCCTGCTCATGAAGGGCTCACACACTGATGGGGAGAACGGCCCAAGAACAAGCTAGGCTTAAGTGTTCGGACCTTGGGATTGAGGAAGGGTCCCAGAGGAGGAAGGAAGGGCATTCCCAGCAGCTGGAACACATATCTGAAGGCCCGAGGCGTGAGGCAGCGTGATATCTGGTTGGGGACCCATAAGCCGTTTGGTATTATTGGTGAGTACAAGGAGGGAGGAAGCAGGGGTGACGTCGGGGAGGTCAGCAGGGACCAGGTGGAGGGGCAGTGGGGGATAGTGGTGGGTGTGGAAGAGTTTTTGAAGCAGGAGAAACGCTGCAGTCCTGTGCGTGTGTAGAAAGCCACTCTGTCCCAGAGGTGGAAGAGTGGCGGGAGAGGGAGGGCAGACTCAGGAGTTTAGGGTTGGAATCGGGGGGATGTGATACTGCACTGGGCTGTGCGCCGTGAGAGGCTGGAAGATGGGAAGGCATGAGGGTGTCAGGATAGCTCCCGGCTCGAACAGCTGGGTGGATGGCGCGCCATCCGTGGTACGGGGTGGGTGATGTGTGAGGAGGGTCCTTGCAGTCCCTTTGGGAGCTGCTGACTGGAGGAGACCTGGGGGCCTCCTGGAGGGTTGATCCCTGGGCAGATGGTGGGAGGCTCTGGGGCTCAGAGGCAGGTCTGGGCTGGAGGTGTGGCTCTGGGCGTGGTTAGGGTCTGGTGGGGGTGGGGGTGGGGGGATGAGGGTATGCATGTCTGGGGAAGAGAAGGGGAATTCCTCAGACCTGAGGCTGTGGGAGGGACCCTTTAGCTCGGATGCTCTCGGTAGGTTTCTGGCTTGTGGGGTTAACCCCCTTCGGCATCCTGGCAGACTCCTCATCCTGGGCTTGCTCTCAGCACCATTGTACCCCTTCCAGGCCTTCCCCTCCCACCCTCAGAGGAGACTCACTTCCCTGAGACCTGTGCTGGACAGGGTGAGGGAGGCTGGAATGACGGAGGCAGGGGCCTCCTGAACCACATGCGTTCACTGGAAGACAGAACTGTGCTGGGCCCAGAGTCTCCTGCGGTCCCACTCCTCCTGCCTTGGCTAGCGGCTTACAGAGTCCAGAGGCCCCTGGAGCAGCCTCTTCATATTCCCACGGTGTCCTAGGGCTGCCCTTTTTGTGGTGTATGTTGTGTGGTGTGTGTGTGTGTGTGTGTGTGTGTGTGATGGATGAGCTTGGATCTGAGGTCCCGGGGCTCAGGTGCCCACTGAGTGGTTGTGGCCTCTTTACTGAGGTCCATGCTGAACCCCCCTGAAGCTTCTACCCGCCACACCCCACCCAGGCTATAAAATACTGGGAAAATCACATTTATTAATGTTTTTCACACACCCCATTGTCTTATACAAAATTCCCACCAGCTGTCAACCTCCCTCCCCTGGGACTTAGGACCCAGGGACAAAACTGCTCTCCAGGGGCGGGCTTCCCAAGCCCTGCAGCCATCTTCCTCCCCAGTGCTGCCACTGAAAAGATGCCACTGCCCTTATGTGGCCTTAGGGAATAGCCCACGGCCCCAGTGGTCCTCGCCACTGCCCTCACAGGTCATGGAAACCCACCTGCCTCCATTGTGGCTGACCCAGCCTTCATTAGGACAGAGTTCCCATCTTGGGGGTGCTCTCCCTGGGAGAGGATGTATGGGGGGCAGGTGTCAGGCAGGTGGTCCCGGTGCCGAGACCGCTTGCGCCTTGGGCTGAAGGTCTCCAGGCACCTCTTGCCCACCAGGTAGGTGACCTCACTGAGGTTGAGCAGGATGCAGATGACAGCGGTGGCCACCATGAAGTAGGTGAAGACCTTCTTCTCGGTGGGCCGGGAGATGTAGCAGTCCACCATGTGGGGGCAAGGGGACTCAGAGCAGACCACCACGCGTGGCATGTCATAATCCTCGTAGAGGCGGTGGAAGAGGTAGAGGAACCCGGCGTCGACGGCTGCCTTGAAGAGGAGACTCAGCAGGTAAGTCCACCAGAGCCCACCGCGCTTCTTGCTTGGGTTGTCGTACAGGGATGGGGCGCTGGGCCCGTGCTTCAGGCGGTGGCGGCGCTCGCGCTCCTGGCGGTAGGCCACGTGCATGACCACGAGCAGCGAGGGGCAGGTGACCAGGATGAGCTGCAGGGCCCAGAGGCGCACATGGGACACGGGGAAGAATTCGTCGTAGCAGACGTTGGGGCAGCCTGGCTGCTTGGTGTTGCAGACGAAGTCCTTCTGCTCGTCGTCCCACACCTCCTCAGCCGCCACCACGTACACCAGCACACGGAAGATGAACACCACTGACAGCCAGATGCGGCCCAGCGCCGTGGAGTACTTGTTGACCCCACTCAGGAGGCCCTGCAGGGAGGCCCAGTTCATGATGATTGTGTCCTTGCTTCCTCACGGGGACCGTCTGCAGCCGGGAGCACCCACTCGGGGCGTGGGGACCACGAGGCCAGGAGAGCCTGGAAGTGGGTGTCCTTTGTTAAAGGTGCAATTGGCAAAACCCTTTCACCAACCCTCTGTCATCACATCCTCACTTGCCGTGACTTGGTGGGGTCGGGATGGCTCTTATCCCCATTTCACAGGGGAGGAAGCTAAGGCCCAGGGAGGAACCCAACCTAGGCTTCCAGCTGGAAGTGGCAGGGCTGGCCTTGAAACCCCACCTTCCAGTTCTAAAACCAGGGACGAGTTTATTCTATAAAGTAATGGATAAACGTGAAGGATAATCATCTCACATGCATATACCTGCCAACTTCTTCGACCCTAGGTTTCAGCCCCGTGGATCACACGACTTCTACAGAAACAGGACGAAGGTGTGGATTGGGTGACTGCCCTCCCTTCAGCTGCCAGGACTGGACAGGGGCAGGAAGGGAGGGTGGTGTGTCTTTATCTTCCTGCAACTTCTACTGAGTGCCAACGGGAGCCTGGTCCTGTGCTGGGCGTGTTGCTATTGGCCTCTTTGGCGGCCCCCTGAGTGATAGCCGTCCTCACCTCACACCTCATCGAGAGGCCCAGGACAACCCCAGCCCTGACATTTCCTCCCAGACTAAGCAGGCTCTTTGGAACCCTGGGGTTTGGCATTACCCACCACCCCTCCCCCACCCAGTGCCGACTGTCCTGACCACACTGGGTTTCTCTGGAATTCCAACCATTTCAACTTTAGGGAGGACTGGGGAAGGGACAGAGGCAGGATTCTGGATTCTGGTTCAGTCCTACCCCCCCATCACTTACTTCTCTCAGGAACACCCTCCTTCTGTGCTAGCCAGCTCTCCCATTACTCCCGGTCAGGCCCCTCTCCGTGCGCTCTCAGTCCTCCACACCCCTTTATCTGGAGCGCCATCAGGTTCCATCCTGGCCCGTGCCCCTCCCCTGTCCCCGACTCAGACCTCAGCATCTTCAGAGCTTGTGACCCTGGGACATTTTCCGAGTACCCGTGTCTGTGGAATCGATCACAGTACTCAGATGGTCTGTTTCCCTGCCTCCATGCCAGACCGTCAGTGCCTGGAGGGCAAGCTTCTACAGCTCATGCATCTGTTTCCCTAGCACTCAGCACCTGGCCTGGCCTGGCCCGGTGAACACATGGATAGACGTTTGCTGAACTGAAACCCCCTCTTCCAGACCCCCCACCTCCTTGTCTCTTCTCTGGTTCTCTGTCTTCCCTTTGGACTGACAGGACATCCCTCCCCCTCCTTGGGGCTTCCTTGGGGTTTCTCCAGGGATCCTCTGTCCCCCCTGCTCCTCCCTGGAGTCCAGGCTGCAGCCCGTGTTCCGGGGATCCTCAGCCCATCCGGTCCCTGCTTCCCAGCCCTGTCTGCTGCCCAATTTGGGCCTCACCTTTCTCGGGTCTAGCAGCGACTCTCCGGTCCCTGGGCTTGTCTGTCTGCCTGAGGGCCTCCCGGAGGCAGCTTTTGTTCCTCACTCCTGTGCTGGGTGGAGCTTTCTGAGCCAATGAGCCAAGGGAGAGTGAGCGGGTGGGCAGGCAGGCGGACTTCCCCGGGCACATATTCAGAGCAAACACCTGCAGCTCTCTCCTCTGGCCCACGCCTTCTCTCCAGCCTGGATGGGCATGGCTGGTTCTGGCTCCCTAGGCTGGCAGGTATGTGGGTGAAGCTGTCTTTGGGGGGGAGCAGTGCAGGAGGGTATCCTTATGACAGGGTCCGGGTCAGCAGCAGTGGTCCCTATCTGTTGCCCCACCCCCTTCCCATTACCTTATTGCCTTTGGTCTATCTGTCCCCAGTCCTCTCTCCTGCCCTTTGCTCTGGAAGCACGGTCCAGAACAGCTGCCATCCATGGAGAGGGGCAACCTTGATCCAGCCCGGGATCACATCCCACCCTGGCGGGGACATTTCTGGGGACTAGAGCTTGGGCTGCTGGTGAGCTGTGGAGGGGATGGGAGGAGTTGATCATGGTTCTTTTAGAGGAGGACACCTGCTGCCCTGGCAGAGATAAAGAATGCAGGCAGGCAGCAGGAATTGTCCCAGGTGGTGTGGGCCCAGTGGAGGTCCGTCCTCTGTGGGCATCTGGGGAAGCCTTCTGGGAAAGTCAGGGTACTTCCCAGTGGGGGTTGCAGAGGGGCCTTGGGCCTGCATCCCTGCTGTCCTGGTGGCTGGGATAGTGAGGGTTAATGAGCAGCCAGGGAGGGGCTCCTCTGCTTCATTTCCCACAAGCATTTATTGAGCACTTCCTAATACCAATGATTAACATTTATGTGGCCTTTTACAGCTGGCTTACCCCATCCATAGCCATGAACTCATCCAGTCCCCCACCCCCCCAGGCTCCGTATTATTAACCCATTTTGAAGAGGAGCTGAAGTCCCTTTCCCAGAGTCCCAGTGGAGCATGTGTTCGGACCCAAGTGTTCTGACTCAAAAGTTCATGAACTTTCCATGGCAACACACAGCTTCCCACAGGCCAAGCCCCATTATATTTTCAGATAGTCCTCGGACCTCAATTTGCCACTGGGATAAAGGGTTGTCTAGAGCATGAGCAGGTGGCATGACCCCCAGGAGTGCTGGGGACACTTTGCTGGGGGAGGGAATGGCCCCTCACAAGGCCGGGTCAGGTCCAGCCCTTTGCAGGGACACAGAGGTTGAGCCAGTGACCTGAGAAGGGTCACAAAGGCCAAATGACTGAATGGCACCTTGAATCAAGTGGATGAGTTGACTTTTATTAAGCCTTGACTGTCCCCTGCCCCGCCCCCCCCATGTACTTGCACATCCATTTTCTAAAGAAACCGCTTCTCATAGCAACACCCCGTGACGTGGGCTTCACTTCCATTTTACATAAAAGGAAATGCAGGTTCAACTCAGAGGGGTCAATGGTCCGAGGCCCCACAGCTGGGGCAGGTGCCGGGCCCTCCCTGCTCCCTGCCCCCAAGGCTGCACTGTGGGAGATGCTGGGTTTGATGAGGTGGCTCTCACAGGATGGTCTTTGTCACGTGGTCTCGAGGGAGATCTGGTAAGAGAGGAGGGTGAGCATCCGAGCCCAGAAAGATGAGGTCACCTGAGAGGAGGTCGTCCCCCTTGCAGGAAGAGGTGGCACCATCCGGGCGATGGCCCATGCCTGTGGCCCTGGCTCTCCTTGCTGCCAAGCCCTCGCGGCACCTCTTGCTCACCAGGTAGACCAGCTCTACGAGGTTGAGCAGGATGCAAATGGCGGCCGTGACCACCATGAAGAGAGTGAAGATGTTCTTCTCCGAGGGCTTGGAGATGAAGCAGTCCACCGTGTTGGGACACGGAGCTATGTGGCACTTGACCACATGAGGGAGGGTATATCTGGGGTAGAATGAGTGGAACACATAGAGGAAGGCGGTATCCACGGCGGCCTTGAACACCAGGCTGCAGACATACGTCCACCAGAGCCCACCCCGCTTCTTGCCGGGGTGCAGGTAGAGGCGTCCGCCGTCCTCCCCCACCGCTTCTCGGTGCTTCTTCTCCCTAGCCTCCCGGTAGGCCACGTGCATGACCACGAGCAGTGAGGGGCAGGTGACCAGGATAAGCTGCAGGGCCCAGAGGCGCACGTGGGACACGGGGAAGAACTCATCAAAGCAGACATTGGAGCATCCCGGCTGCTTGGTGTTGCAGTCAAAATCCTTGTGGTCATCGCTCCACACCCGCTCAGCCGTCACCAGGTACACCAGCACGCGGAAGATGAAGACCAGAGACAGCCAGATGCGCCCAAAGGCAGTGGAGTACTTGTTGACCCCGCTCAGGAGCCCTTCGAAGATCCCCCAGTTCATAGTGGACCCAGGCGTTGGCCGCTCCTGCTGGGAAATAATGATTTTTCACATTTATTGAATACTGACTCTGAGCACCTTATGGAATATATTATCTGTACTCAATTCCCACAGTCACACAGGAACTAGATTCTATTTTTGTCCCCATTTTACAGATGGAGGAAATGGAGGTTTGGGGGGCTATGAAGGTTGCACAACTACTAAAGGCAGAGCTGGGGTCAGAACCCAGGTAATTAAATCCAGAATCCATAAAAGTTGGGGAAGGTGGGTTCAGGGAGATACTCTTTCCTCCCGGGCCTGAGGCTCTGGTCTTGTGGTCCTGCAGCGTGAAAGCTTGAGTTATGGGACATTCTGCCCTCTCCCTCTGTTCCAACTCTGGTCCTCCTCCTTAGGGGGCAGAGCCTTAGGAAGACTTCTCTCCTTTTGAGCCCCTCTCCTCTTAGCCCCTCCTAAGGGGAACCTGCTTCTTGCTCTTTACTTGGCTTAGGGGGTTGGGTGGGAGAGACTGCAGGAAATTTGTCCCCAAACTCCCATCTGGTCTAACACTCTGTAAATACCCAGGCAATGTCTTGCTCATGTGCAGGTCACTTGAAGCAAGGCCAGTGGCAACCCTGCTGAAAGATAAAGTAGGGGACAATTGTTCTCTTTATCCAATAATGTTCCCAGAGTAGCCTGGTGTTCTGGGGATTCCTAAACTGGTGTTCCGTGGAACCCTGCCCATAGTTTGGCAACTGGAACAGTTAAAGAAAGGATTCTGTGTTCAAGAAAGGTAGGCAAACGTAGGTTTAGCAAAGTTACACTTGATCTTAGCCAAAAGGGCCGAGAAGCGATCAGCAAAGTTAAATAGGACCCTTACTTGACCAAGCAAATACACTGACACTTGAATCCCCAAAAGGGAAGGAATATGGAGCATTGCCTGAACTCCTTTGACCACAAAACCTTTTTTTTTTTTTTTTTTTTTTGTTTTGTTTTAAATCACGGTGTGGAATAGTCTTGTCTCAACTGCAAAATGGGAAATGCTGCTCTGGTCAGTTTCGCTGTTGAGTTTGGCGGGATGAACACAGGTGTCAGATCTACCTCCGTTTACGGAATGTGACTGCCACTCAGAGCCAGACTTTCACTTCCTGTCTTGGAATTCTGCCTGGTTCCTGGTGGGGGTGGGGCTGGGTCTTGGGGGGGGTCCCCTGAGACCAAGGCACTATGGTTTCACCTGCTGGCCTCCCCTGGGACCTCAGGGATCTGCACAGCGTCTTGCTCTGAGGGGCTCCTGATGCCCTTCCCAGGGCATGGGTAGGCACTGGTCACTGTGCGGTCCTGATGGCCTGTGGAATCTGCTGTGGATGGGCAGGGAAGTGGTAAGAGCCAACACTTCTGGGGTAGTCACGCCGCTCCAGGCACTGTTCTCAGCACTTTGTGTGAGCCAGTGCAGCAACTCTATGAAAGGGTATGATATTTTTTATTCCCAATTTCCAGATGAGGAAAGTGGAGCACAGAGAGGTTAATTAATTTGCTCATAGTTGCTCAGCTGGGAAGCAGCAGAGCCAGGATTTGAACCACACTTTGGGCCTGGGCCCCTTTGCTTGAGTTTCGGGAAGCTGCTTGCCCATCTGGTCTGTGCCCACCCTCTCCTCCGCCAGGTGAGTGCCAGGGAAGGGAGGCTGGAAGTGTCTCACTCTCACCCTATCTCTCCTCTGCTCTGTCTATACCACCTACCGCTTGGCTGTGAGTCACGGGCTTGCCTTTGCTCAGGCCCGCCCACTGTGGGCGGAACTCCTGGCAGCTAGCCCACCCGCCTGGGAGCAGCCTGGGAGACTGAGCCCTTAGTCCCCAGAGGCTTTTGGCCCATCCCACCTGGGGTGTGGTGGGTGGGACTCTGCAGGCCCAGACAGAGCTGCCTCCCTTGCTCATTCAGCTGCTGGCACCCCTGTGAGCCCCTCTCCCACTCGGTCCCTGGTTCCCACCTCTTCTGAGCTGGGGAGAGCAGGAAGAACGCAGGGCAGAAGAGGGAGGAACCCTCCATTCCTGTCCCATCAGAACCCAGGATGGTAGCTATGTCCAGACCCCGCTATGTCCAGACCCCCCTCTCGCCTTGCCACTGGAGAAGTCTCCCTCTGCCACATATGCCAAGGATCCATATGGACACAAGTGATCTTACCTGGGGGGCTACTCCTCAGGGCTCTCTGTGTACTGGCTCCTGGCCGCTGGAAATCAGACTCTGCAGGCAGCTGGAACTCATGTCAGAACGAGGGAGGGTGTTTGGGGCAGCACATTCTGGGACAGAGCCTGTGGAGTCAGCAGGCAGCTGGGTGTGCCGCTGGCCGAGGAGGAGGAGGGCTCGCTGCGCCTGCCACTGCCATTGGCTGGGCCCCAACCTCCCCAGACTGCCTCTGAGGAGGCTCAGACACTGACGGGTTCATGGTTCACTCTTCCTGGGGTGCTGAGTCCAGAGTCCGGGCATCCTCTGAGGGGAGAACCGTAGGTCCGCTCTGAGCCCCTGCTTGTCCTCTCATCTCTCGCCTTGTGTGGGAGGAGCTGAGGTCTGTCCTGCTTTCTCAACCTCCTCCAAAAAGTCCCCATGGTCCTTCTTGGGACTTTAGGGGCTGCTCTCTGGCCTTCCATTCTTCTGGCTTCAGTTATTTTCCCGAAACGCCATGACTTGCAAACTCTGTCTCCAGCCCATATGCAT